CAGTCGCATTGGCGGCAAGAGCTTGATGGAGGAGCGCCAACTACGCCTTTGCCAACACATCGAGCGAAGCCTTGCTGATGCACAACTTGACGCTGCCGTCGCCGCTCTCGAGCGGCTTTGCGTCGCTGCGCTCGGTGCTTGGACCGTTTGGGAACGTCGACATGACGTACGTACCCGTGCCAGCTTCGTTGTTGCAGTGGTACCAAGCCACGCAAGACGCGCTCACGACGCTCCTCGTGACGGATCCGGTGGCGCAAGCCGCTTTTGTGGCGATTCCTCAAAAGCAGTACATTGGCCAGTTTCCCAAAGCGTTTGCGCAGTCAGGCATTGCGTTCGAAGGCGGGAATGTCTTGTGCGGCAACGACCAAGCCTCGGCGCCCATCAACTTTTGGAGCATCGTCGCGTCACCCATCTTTCGCGCGTTCAGCACCTCGAACGCCTGTTACCGGCTCGTGTTTGAGTTTTTCGAGCCCGACGAGTTCCTCCTCCTCTTTGCCCTCTCTGGGTTTGGCGCGTCGCACGACCTGGGACGAGACACACTCGCCTCGATCTGTCACTACGACTACTCCCCCGGTGACAACTGCGGGGGCATTTACAACGACTCGGTCGCGTTCCTCACAACGTACAATGCATCGACGCTGAGTGCCTTTCCGCCCCTCGCCCGCGCCGCCGAGCGCGACGTGAAAGCGCTCAACGATCAGTTTCTCCAGTACCTCAAGAACGCTAGTGTACCATCCTCGGCCATGAACCACAGGTACCTCTTCCGCATCAACATCCTCGACGACGCGGACGACATCTCGTGGGTTTACTTTGGCTGGTGCTTCATGTACGCCTGGGCGTCCGGGCTGCGCGAAGTCGTGTCGTTCCAGGGCGACCATGGCACGCTCACGGCCATTTCCGGGCCCCTCAGCACGATCACGATGCAGGCGAACCCCGCGGAGGTCCGTCAAGACTTGGCCAACGTGCTCTCGCTGAGCGTCCAGTACATCACGATGGTGTTTCTGGTCCTAGCGACCTTTACCGCGCTCTACGCAATCAGCAGCCGCGGGCGCATCGAGGGGCTCAACCTCTTCGAGATGAACCGGACGTTTGGCCTTGTCTGGGTCGGACGGCCCTTTGTGCTCATTCGCAGTGCGTCGGCCATGATCATTCTGCACACCAACGTCCTCAACCTTTCTCAAATCGGAGCGTTCACAGTGTTTACGTCGCCGACCATTCTGTGGTACAACTTGGTGCTGGCCGCGGGCGAGCTCAACTGGCTCGTTTACGTCTTCAACGACAGCTTCAGCTGCATTACCACCAAGTACACGGCGGGGTATGCGATGAAGAGCACGCTCTCGGCATGGCTCATTCTGATTGTCTGGACCGCGATTCAGCCTTGCGAACACGTGGCCTACATGGACCGGCGCTGTGTGGCGATTGACATGGATGTTGGCTTGCGCTGCCACAGCGCGTTTGTGGAAGTCGGCTTTGTCAACCGGATTGGCCTCTCGGTGCTCATCTGCTTTGGCTGCGTGGTTGCGAGTTTTTTGCTGGAAAAATACGTGTGTCGGGGAGCTCCCGTGTTTGATGCGACGTCGCTCATGCTCTCCGCACCCGCCAAGTACACGTTCGTGCTCGACGACTGGGTGCACAACGGCGTCTTGTACATTGATAAGCCATCGACACTCATGGCGGGCGTCCTCTCGGTCGAATATGCCGGTGGCATCTACCTCTTTGACGTCAAGAAATGGCGCCTCCTCGTGGCCTTTCGACACAGTGGCGTCGAGATGGTACTCCCAGACGCGCGCTTTATGTATGCGATTCCATTGGTCGAGTGAGACGACAGGAGATCAATGTTTGAGAGGAATTGATCGATGGACAATATTTTCTGTTTACGGTCCATTGTGACATGTCGGTCCATTTGTAAATCGACAAATTGACAGTTTGGACCGTTGGCTGAATGCTGACCCGCATGGCCTCCGCGGTGCGCCTGGGCGATTTTAGAGAGCTTCACATTTATATATCAAAGTGTTCCGCGTAATCTTCCTTACAAAGAGTTCGCACACGTAGTGCTACGCCTGAATGCGTGGGAGTTGGCACCAGCACTTGGTCGTTGGGACTGAGCTGCGCACGGAGAGATCAATCCCGTGGTGGACCCCACTCACCGAGGGATCACAAGTTCCAATTGAAGTAGTCACTAAATGCCCTCGCACGCAGAAATGTCTTCCGCCGCCCTCTCTGTCCACAGACCGTTGTTTGATTACAGATTAACCCATTTGGCGTGCGTAGTACTCGATGTCTCGGGTACTAATAGTAGGCAGCGAAGGACTCGCGTCAGTGCACGTCGGTCGTCGTGGACCACCACGCTGCCACGTCATAATCTAATTATAGCCAATCCGATGCATGTTGGGCGTTGAAACAGTGTTGATTGGCGGCGCGTCCAGCCAATAAAGTTTGCATTTCAAAGAAAAGCCGTCATTGACAAATGGTCGCGTTGGTCAACCCCGGCATCGCTGCGCACGGGGCCGCGATGCGCAAGTATCGAGCCGCCAAGACGTTTGCCTACGCCAACAAGGTGCCCAATGACACGTTGCCCGAGATCAGCGTCACAGGCGTCGACGGCCTCCTGCAATGGCCGCTGCCGCCAGCACAAGAACAACAGCTCTTCGCGCGCTACACGGCCATCAACGGCTGCATCACAGTTCCGTTCGAAGACATCCAGTATGACTGCGGAGACGACAGTCCGTGGGAAGACTTTTTATACGAGCGCGTTCTCGACGCTGTGGACCTCGGGCTGGGGCTGACGACAACGGATCTCTCTGCGTACTTTTCTCACATGTGCCTCGATACGACGGGCTCTGTGGACGCCTTCACACCCGATTCCATCGACGCAGAGGACTTCGACACAAATCTCTTTGGCACGCTCGTCGTTGTGCTCCCTGCTCCGTACAACGGCGGCAAGATCACGGTGGCGTTCGATGGCGCGTCGATGTCGGTGCAGTTGAAGCCACTCAAGAAGGCCATGCGCTTTTTAGCAACGTACAGAAACACGACGCTGGCGTCGTCGCCCATCACGTCCGGCTACCGCGCCGCGCTCGTGTATCACTTGGTCGATGGGGATCTCCCGCTGGATGACAAATCGCTCCTACCCGTGCCGCGCCACGAGTCGATTTCTGCCTTTGCAGCGATCGCGGCGACACCGCTGCCGCCTCGCGAGCGCATTGCGCGCCCGATTCGATATGCGATGGAAGCGCTCGCGTTTGACGCACTAAAGCCGGCAGAGGCGGACTTTGTCGATCTCCTCGTCGCCACGCAGTGCTACGACATCGCACTTGTGCAGTTTAGCACTAACGCGCTTGGCCTTCGTCTCGAGAATGGGGCTCTCAACATCGTGGCCGCGTGCGTGCCACATCCATCGTGCCGGATCCCTAAGGTTGTCGTCCAGCGCTTGCTGGGGAAGAGCGCCAACGCCTTTCTCCGCGACGCTCCGGAACGGCTTGGTGACGACAACGACATCTGTGCGTGTTCAGCAGCAGCGATTCTCTTTTGGCCCAAGGCCTGCCGTGTCGGTATCGTGGGCGTCGAAGTCGCCTTCCCGCTGCTCCAGAAGGCGATATCGACCCCAAGAGCCAGCAAGCTCGGTCTGCACTGCGCCGACGATCTTGTTTGCGGCGCCATTGGACTCTTCCAGAGCATGTCGCACCCGTACGGTTTGGCCAAGTTGCCGTTCAAGTATGTCGCTATGATGAACGACGCCTTGGTCAATTGCAACAACGTCAAGATGGCGGCGCTCTTTCTCAGCGACGCAATATCGGTCTCTAGCCAGCTTGGCCACGACACAGCGACCGACATGATTCACCTCTGCTTGACCAAGTACGGGTGGGTAGCTCTGGAGGCGGCGATGCTGCGGCTCATCCAACGCTGGGTCAAAGACGATGTGGGCGCCATCTCTCGGCTCTTGGCGAGCTTGGCGGGTGCCACCAAGAACGGAAAATGCGCCCCATTGAAGCAGCCATTTGTTTGTGAGTTCTTCAAGCGCTGCTGGCACGAGGTGCTTATCCACCAATCCGTGTGGCAGTCCTCGACCATCGACGAGTACATTGTTCTCATGGACGGATATCTTCACGACATTGCGCCTTTGGATGCGCATGGCCATTGGCTGAACCACAAGCTGCCACCAGCGCTCGTGTCGATGGTCGACAGCTTCCTCTACAAGCACCGCCGCGGGGTGTACACGCTCCTATCGCTCCGCTCCACGACCGAATATCGACTGGAAGTTTTTCCGGACCTCCTCCTCAAGGCCACCGCGCTGCAACCGACGCTGGTTCAAAAGCCGTATCTCGATGTCATTGCAAAGGATGTCGACGGGCACCAACTCGGTGACTTCTTTTCAACGTCGAGCCTCGAGGGCGGCTACTGTCTCTTGCGCGTCATGGACCAAATCGGCCGCTGCGACGAACGACTCATGGAGAAAGTGGCGCTGCTCAATGGCTACGAAGTCGTCATCGCCGTCTCGTGGCTCGTCACAAAACATGCGACGATCGCGGCGTCGACGCGCGCGTCGGCGGTCATCTTCTTGGACACGTGCGCCGTCACGCTCCTCCAAAATGCAGAAATTGAAGAGGTCACGCCCGATATCATGGTGGATCTCGTTATGGCAACGGTCGTCGCGTTCAACGTCATCGCCCCCGAGAAGATCCCGAGTTTTCTGACGAAGTGGATTGCAGAAATGCCGCCGACCCGCGATACGAACCGAGACCAGCTCTTTCCCGTCATTGAGCAAGTGACGGCCAGGTTCCCCGGCCGCTTCCGTGCCGCGATTGTTGCGCTCGCGACGCAGTGCCGAGCGACCTTTCTGGACGACGCACGCCGCACGGTGCCAGCGCGAGATCTATCGGAGACCGAGGCGCAAGCCTTATTGGGTGACCACTTTTTACAAGACGGAGATCGCGAGTCGGTTGCGACATTGGACGCGTTGCTGGCGCCACCTCCAACGACGGCTCCACCCAAAGGCGGCGAAAGCAAGTCGCGCAAGCGCCGCCGGCGCAATAACTCACACGCATAGCCAATTCGTCGTCGCGTACATACTAAAAAGAGTATACGACCATTCTATCATGAGCGATACCTCCATACAAGCACGTACTACTATATCAGTTAGGAGGTCGTTGTCTATGCTACTCTATCGCATTGGGTTTGTGTTCCCCAAACGTCAACACTTGACCTTGGCAAGACGATGCATGCCGCCATTCACTAGTCGTCACCGTTGGTGACATTAGCGTTACAGAGAGGCGTGACTTTGACGGCGATATGCACTGTGTTGGAGAAGGCTACAGATCGCGAGCGATGCTGTAGATCATAGTGCCAGTCCAATGTGCCAGTCCCATAGACTGCATTGTAGCACTGCGTATGCGAAGTCTTTGAGTTCGTTTTTGCTAATTTGATTTCAACGCGAACACGTTTGATTGATTGATTGATATTCGCTCCATGCGTCGTTGGCGCAACACAGCGGCTTCTGCATCGCTACGATGCAGTCTGTGGACGCTAGCCCTATCAGCTAGTGTTCGAATGGATGACGTGGCAGCTTGTAC